TTGGAAAGTAGAATTCAAGTATCAAGTGAAAAATGAACTACTAAAGGCAGATACATCAGACTCCAGGAGTTAATGCATATCACTAAGAATACTGAAGAAAGAGGAAATTCCCACTCTGATAACCTTTAACGCAATGATTATACGCAACTTGTCTCTGGAGCGGAAAACTGCAGAGGTGTGACTTATATACAGACAGAGGGACAGACAAGAGAGACTAAATTATAGGGAAATATCACAAACATCTGTCCAGGATATTGGAAAAGATAATTAAGAAATAAAAATCCGGACACGGCAGATATCGCCACCTTAAGTGCCAGATGTGAAGAAAAGTATTTTAAGTAAAGACGAAAATGAGAGATAAGCACGTAAGCTCTCTGACTCACGTACTTACACTTCTCTTGTTTCCAACCCTCTTGATCGCATCAAGAGAACTTCTCCGATTTCTGTCCTCCTGACTTTGGCCTCGTTCAACGTTTCCTTGTTATTTATCTCCGTCACATTTCTATGGTCTTCCTAAAACTCATAAACCTGATATCCCTCTACGTCCCATCACATCCTACAGAGGTTCTGTCTGTTATTCTTTGCCTCTTGGCTGCCCAAAATTCTCACTCTTCTTGGTACTTTTTCTCCTGCTCACCTCCGTCACTCTCGACTTCATCGAACGTGTTCGCTCTCTGTAAGATGCCTAATCTTGATGATGTTTTTAATTTTCTCATAGTGAAAGTACTGAAGGGTTATTTTATCTCCCTGTACCTACTGATATCTTCCTTGGTCTTATTCGCCTATGTGTCAACTCCTTTCAAGGTAAATTTTATTCCCAAACCTTCAGTGTCGCTATGGGCTCTCCTCTGCCGCATATTCTTCCTAACCTTTATATGGTGTGCTTCCCTCCCTCTGGTAGATGACAAATTGCTCTTTGGCCTAATTACTCTAGCCTCTTCCAACCATTTTTCGATGCCCTTAACAATCTTGCTCCTTCCATGAGGTTTAAAACTGAATAGGAATCTAACTCTTTGCTTTTTTTCTTTCTTTGATGTATATATACATCCCACAATACACACACACATCATATAACTACATATATATATATAATATATATTATATATATATATATATATATATATATATATATATATATATATATATATATATATATATATATTATATATATATATATATTTGAAAACAACAACTGTGAAAGAATAGAGAAATTCCAAGCGCTTTCGTGACTACTCACATTATCAAGGAACTATGAAAGTAAAGCATCCAAAGAAGGTATATAAGGGGTCTGGCCAACACCTCACTATCAGATCCCACAAACGGTTAAACACCTGACGCGCGCCGGCCCGACTGGACAGGTCCTTCGCACAACCCACCAACAAACTATTCTACCCAAGAAAATTTTAAAAATTATTATTTGTCCGGTGTTTTATTAAATTCTTCCCAAATTCTATTAATTATAAATGGATCTAATTTATATAAACCAAAGGAAATATTCATATTATTGTCAAAACTGCTTTTTATGAAACAAGATTCAATAATATTCCTGTCGACCATGGACTTGCTTGATACAACTTTCTCAACTTTTTGAGAATCAATTGGATGGCTAAAATCTCTTACATGAATAAATAGAGCATTGGAATCTTGTCCAGTTCTAATGCTATATTTATGTTGTTTTAATCTTAGTTCGAGATTTTTACCATTTTGACCGTAATAAACTTTATCGCAAATTTTACAAGGAATCTTATAGACACATCCATCAGCATTTTGGGGAGAATTCTTTATCAAAAGTTTTTTTACTGTATCAAGATTTTTGAATACAAGTTTAATATTAAAAGTCTTAAGAAGAGAAGGCATATCAACCAAGTTTTCATGGTAAGGGAGAACCAACATATTTTAGTTGAATAAGGCTGTTGTCCCTTTTTGGATAGTAAAAAGGTTCTAGAACTTTAAAAGATTTACATACATTTCTGGGACTTAAATCATTACCTATTTCATAATTTTGGATATTTCCTCATCTATGAACTCAGGACTACAAATTCGTAAAGCTCTCAAAAACATTGATGAAAAAACAGACAGTTTGACTCTATCTTGATGCGAAGAATAATAGTGGACATAGGAACAGTTATTTGTAGATTTTCTGTAAATTTTAAATTTGAATTCATTATTACCCTTAATAATTAAAACATCTAGAAAAGGCAATGAGTTATTTTCTTCAAACTCAACAGTAAAGTTTATAGAATGGGCTAAGCTATTTAATTTTCCAAGGAAAATGGTGTATATCTACATTTTGGGCATAAGACACAAAATATCATCAACATATCTGAACCATTTATCTCTATTAGGGAGGATTGTGTTAAGCAACCTTGTTTCAAAAAATTCCATCGTTGTTTTGCATATTCTGAAATCACCTGTTTACTGTGATCTTATTGCATATATATATATATTATATATATATATATATATATATATATATATTATATATATATATTTATATATATATATATATATATATATATATATATATATATATATATATATATATTATAGTCCACTACTCGGATACAGGTTTTTTACGTTTATCTCCAGCTTATACACAATGGTATGTACATTTACTACTTTTCTTACCATGTTTCGTCTGTCAAGAAGAGTGTTCTTATTTCTCTTTTTCTGTGACCTCCGCATTTGTGACCGTCAGTTCCTACAATCGGAAATTTCCACTCTTCGTAATTCTTTCTCTCGTCTTGGCTACCCTTACCATTTCACAAACTCTGCCCTTGGTGTCTACGTTATTTCATGCTCCGCAAGTTTTGAAACAGAGTAGACAACAAGGGCACAAAAAGCGTTAGACTGCTGACGTAGATAATGCTCTTATCTCTCATATTAGAGATCACAGTCATCCTATTGACTGGTCCTCTGGTAAAATTGTCTACCCTACTTCTAGCCTTCACAGTCGCCGCCTTGTTGAAGTATTCCTTATACACATCTTTCCTTGTTGAATCTTAGTCCTAGCTTTGCCTCTGTAAATGCCTTCCTTTCTCATTAGATTGCCAAATGCTCCAAACTTCACAACTGACCTGATCATTTCTTCTCCTCTTTCCCCTACCTCTTCTCCTTCCTATTTTTTCCCTTTTCTGTCTTTCTTTTCCTTTCTTCTGCCTAGTGTGTTCTGTCCTTCAGTTTTCTCCCTCCTATATTTTCGGTCCTTACACTGACCCAACTTCTACTACTATGACTACCACTCTCTTTCTACTGCTATTACTACTACCATTAATACTGCCTCCATTTACTCCTTATTCTCTCTTGTGCAGCTACACTGCTCTCTCTACTTTATACTGCCACTATTACTACCAGCCTTACCACTACTTCTTTTTCTTCCTCTCTTGGTCCCGTCCCTGTTCCCCTCATCTATATATACTGGCTCCCTCACTCTTTTTTGTTAGTGGGATTTTGTAAAGGGTCCAAGTCAGACCGTAGCGTCGTCATAAGCTTTTCTCTCTCCTATGTGTTGGTTACATGTGTATTGCTCCAGTAACGGTAAAGTGGTTTTTTAGTTCTATCTTTATGATATATTACTTACGTGATCTATCAGTAATCATCAAGATGGCGCTGTATGTTTTCATTTTAATCTCGTCGTACCTCAGACGACTTCTTGACTCAATAACGTGACTGCAAATCAACCAAGGAACGGGTAAGGGTTTGAACCCATTGCGGATAAGTCCTAAAACTCCAGGCCAGTGCGTCAACCACTGGGTCAGCTCGCTACAATAAGATTAGTCCAACTAGGTATATATATACACGATAGGGAGGTTAGCTTCCCTATGGTGTTTAGAAATATACCTAGCTGGATGAATGTTATTGTAGCCAGCTGGCCCAGTGGTTGACGAACTCGCTTGGACTTTTACGACTTACTCACCATTGGTTCAAATCCCCCACCCATTCCGAGGTTTGTCTACAATCATGTTGTTACTATTTCGCCAGTTAAATTCTTCCTTGGTGGGGTTATCCTAGATTTTCCAATAATGGGTCTTCATCGCTGCTGTCAAAGCTTTTTCCGCGAAATCCTTAGTGTAACGCAGTATAATATCATAGATTTTCTGAATTTACTCATCTAAATACTCAGGGCAACATATGCACAAAGTTCTCAGAAACATTGTGAAAAACATTCCTTTTTGCTCTAGTTTCATAAATGGAATAACAGTAGTTGATTGATTGATCAAGTCATCATGGAACGGGAGAGTATTACTCACCTCCTCCTCAACTAAGAGTTTAGTCTTAGTTTAGTGTATTATCCATCTCAGTAACAACCTCCAGGTATACATACCCATGGTATGTATACCCATGGTATGGTGGTAATCAAAAGATTACAGAGGCACATAATAGGTCCAGGAACTGGACCGCAGAATTTTGACTACTGAATAAGTTACAATGGTAATGAGCTATTTGCATATTTATATTTGGTTACAATCGTAATGACTTATTCATGCCGAAACGAATTAAGTTAAAAAATATTAGTGCAGCTTATATGCGGTAATGAGTTACTTACAATAGCCAAAATCAGGGCATTTTTCCAGAATGGTTGGTAATATACCACTGTGGATACAATACTTTAACATTTCTTGAACATTTGAGATTGAGTTGCCTCTTAATTCATTAATTTTATGGCATTCCAGCACATAATGACACAAGGAGTGACAATCGTCCATCTAGGAAAGTTTATATTTAGTTATGTCTACATGAGCTATATACTGTTAGTAATGACTGCTAAAATTATTTCTAATGCGAGTGTAATCGAATCTTAATGTAGACGTCACATGCTTGATCTCCAACTCGAATCTCACCAATGAAAAAAATTTATAACCATTTATTAAGATTTTTTTCTGAAACATTCCATTTAATTACTTAATTTATCTTCTGTTCAGAAGTTTAGTGAGATTGTTAACAACGTGAGAGTAAAATAATCCATAAATGTTTTCTAACAAACTTAGCGTTGCTGATAATGTTTCGTTTCAAATGTTCATGACACAGGTGTGATAGTGCCCTCCTCGCTACCAGTTGACTGCACCGATGGTTACTATTTCAACGATGGCCACGCAGTTCCTCGGTGTGACCCCATAAGTGATGCTGGAGCAGATTTCTGCAGCGACCTTTGCAATCCCTGTGTATACCAGTGTGATACAGCCGGCCAAGTCACGCCCAACCCCACGGACTGCAACACCTATTACGTGTGTCTTGCGGGCGGCCTCGTCTTGGAACAACAGTGTCCTGGCAACGCTCCGTTCTTTGATTTCAACACAGGAGAATGTACGGCGGATGACACCTTGTGTTACAATTACTGCGATCTCTGCGTGCCTCACTGTACTGAGCAAAACGAGAAAGTCCCAGACCCTCTTGATTGTCACAATTTCTATGTGTGTAATCCCCCAAACATCGCCAGCTTCACCTGCCCACACACAGAGATCTTCAGCAGGGTCACACTAGAATGTGAAACAGATGCTGATTGTATCATTGACTGTTAAGAGTTGGAAAAGGTGACACTTTTGTCCAGGAAGAGTGTCACCTGAAGCAAGACTTAGTCCTAAGACTCAGCAAAGTGAAGCGACAACAACAATAACCACAGCCTTACGAAACTTATGGACACGAAACTTACTGTAGTAAAAAAATTTAACCCAAATACCTATTTAATATTATGTATGCGTAATTGCAGTGATATCCAGAACAGAACAGTGATATAAAATAAATCACTGTTAATATGATTTAAATTTGAAAACTGACTTAATTTATATATTTTGAACGGTATTTTCAACAAGCTACCAATTTTCCATCTAAATGATACCTGCACATTACGTACAAGATACATCTACAAGATACAATTATCTACAAGATACAAAGTTATTGTCTATATGATAATTATTATTTTCTACACGTTTCCTGTTAATTATCAACAGGTTATTTTGATTGTCAATGTAGACGGAGTTGCTATTAATGGCTTACAGAGAATTGTTGTGTTCATTCTGTACAATTTGCTCTACTGTTATGGTATCATCCGTGTATGACCAGCACATTTAATCTAATCTAAATACAAAATAAAAATCTGGCAATATCAACCATATATACAATTTATCCTCTTACCCTCAAATCCGTAATATGTTTTCAACAGTGTTATTACTCTTACCATTAACAATCACTACTTAACCCGCTCTCACAGAATACACGTGAATTAAACTTAACATCACCTGCCACTAACGTTCAAATTTTATATGTATATCTGATATACTTTTAAGGCAATAAACACAGAAGGAAAATCACAACACTGGGACGTACACAGAACGCCGCAACGCAATGACCTTCAAGACGCAAACTATACAGATATAAATAAACGAAGAAAAAAAAAGAGGAGATATTTGCATTTCAGAGCAAATTTCTCAATTTCAGATTTAAAACTTAATTAATGGTAAGAAACCGGCTGTATTCCACCGAGTCAGAGTAGCCCAAAAAGAAAATTTCTCTTTCTAAAGTGAGTAATGCATACAGGAGGTGAGGTTACTACCCCTTGCACCCAGCAATTCAGTCGCATCTAACAACACACATGGCTTACACACGAAGCATTCTGTTCCACTTCCCAATGGAGATAAGAGGAAATAAAAAAGGAACAACAACTAGTAAGAAAACAGAAGAAAACCCAGAAGGTGTGTATATATATGATTGTCATTGTATGTGTAGTGTGACCTAAGTGTAAGTAGAAGTAGCAAGATACACCTGGTTTCCCGCGTGTCTACGAGACAGAAAAAAAGATATCAACAACCCTTCAATCATGTAAACAAATTACAGGTTTTCATTTCAACTCATTTGGGAAAAGGAGGGAAAGTACCCCAGGGGGGTTGTTGTCTCCCAAACCTACTACCAAAAGGGGTAGTCCCTCCCGGGTGGTTGTTGTCTCCCAAAACCTAATACCACAGGACGGTAAAACCCCCCGGGGTTTGGTTGTTGCCCAAAAAACCCTACTACCAAGGGTTTGGTTTGTCCCTCCCTGGGTGGTTGTTGTTACCAACCTCCCTACCCCCGGGAGGTAGTCCCTTTCCCGGGGGGGTTTGTTGTCCCCCCAAACCTATTTACCCAGGATGGTAGTACCCCCCAGGGGGGTTGTTTCTCCCAAACCCCTACTCCACAGGGGGTTTATTTTCCTCCGGGTGGTTGTTGTTTTCCAAACCCTTTCCCTACCACGGGAAAGGGTTTAGAAACCCCCCTGGGTGGTTGCTGCTACCAACCTTTTAAACCCCAGGAGGGTTTTAAAACCCCCCGGGGGTGGTTGCTGCAAACCAACCTTCTCCAAGGACGGTAGTCCCCCCCCGGGGGTTGCGGGTCTCCCAACCTTCCCCACAGGAGGGTATTTACCCCCCTGGGTGGTTCTGTCAAACCCAACCTTCTACCACGGGAGGGTAGTCCCAAAAACCTGGGTTTGGTTGCTGTCAAACCCAACCTCTACCACGGACGTAGTACCTCCCGGGGGGCCCTGTTTTTCCCAACCCTTCTACCACGGGGACGGTATACCTCCCTGGGGGGTTTTGCTGTCTAAAAAACCTTCTACCACAGGTTTGGGTCCCTCCCTGGAGGGGTTTGCTGTCTACCAACCTACTACCCGGGAGGGTTTGTACCCTCCCTGGGGGGTTGCTGTCTCCCAACCCTTTTAAACCCACAGGAGGGTTGTCCCTCCCTGGGTGGTTGTTTCTCCCAAAACCTACTACCACGGGACGGTATTTACCCCCCTGGGTGGTTGCTGTCTCCCCAACCTTCTACCACAGGACGGTATACCCCCCTGGGTTTTTGGCTGTCTCCCAACCCCCTTTCCAGGGGAGGGTTAAAAGTTCCCCCCCCTGGGTGGTTGCGTTTCCCCAATACCTTCTCCCCAAGGATGGAGTCCCCCCCCTGGATGGTTGCTTTTTCTCCCAAACCTACTACCACGGATGGTTTACCCCCCTGGGGGTTGCGTCTACCAACCTTTACCCCCAGGCGGTAGTCCCCCCCTGGGGGGTTTTGCGTCCCCAAATTTTCAACCCGGGGATGGAGTACCTCCGGGAGGGGTTCCCTTTTCTCCCAACCTATCCCACGGGTGGTAGTCCCTTCCCTGGGTGGTTGCTGTCTACCAACCTTCAAACCACAGGATGTAAAACCTCCCTGGGGGTTTGTTGTTTTACCCCCTATTTCCCCGGGACTTTTAGTACCTCCCGGGGGGTTTTCTGCCCCTACCAACCTTTTTCCCCAAGGAGGGTTGAAACTCCCGGGGTTTGGTTGCTGTAAACCAAACCTTCTACCAGGACGGTAGTACCCCCCGGGGGGGTTGCGGGTTTTAACCAACCTTCAAACCCACAGGGGGGAAAAGTCCCTTCCTTGGGTGGTTCCCTGTCTCCCAAACCTTTTCCACAGGACGGTAGAAACCTCCCGGGGGGTTTTGCTTTTCTACCAATACAAACCCAGGCGGTATTTTAACCCCCCGGGGTGGTTGCTGCCCTACAAACCTTTACCACGGGGACGGTAGAAACCTCCCTGGGGGGTTTTGCTGTTTTACCAACCTTCCTACCACAGGAGGGTTAGAAACCTCCCGGGGATGGTTGCTGTTCCAAACCTACTACCACAGGATGGTAAAACCCCCCGGGGTGGTTCCCTTTTACCCAACCCTTTTTTACCACGGGAAACCGAAGTACCTCCCTGGGGGGTTGCTGTCTAAAAACCCTTTCCTCCACGGGAGGGTAGAACCCCCCCTGGAGGGGTTCCCTTTTTAACAAAAACTCCACAGGAGGGTTTGTACCTCCCTGGGGGTTGCTGTTACCAACCTACTCCCCACAGGGGGTTTATTACCTTCCCTGGGTGGTTCCCTGTCACCAACCTTCTACCACAGGATGGGTATCCCCTCCCTGGGGGGTTTGCGCTCCCAAAAACCTTTCTCCACAGGAGGGAAAGGGGTACCCCCCGGGGGGTGGTTTGCGTCTACCAACCCTTTACTACCACAGGAGGGTTTGTACCTCCCTGGGGGTTGCGCCCTACCAACCTTCCCCCACGGATGGAAATTCCCTCCCGGGGGTGGGGCTGTTTTACCAACCTTCTACCACGGGGATGGTAGTACCCCCCTGGGGGGTTGTGTCTCCCAAACCCTTCAACCACGGGATGGTATTTACCTCCCGGGGTGGATGCTTTTCTCCCAAACCCTTTCTACCAAGGTTTGGTAAACCCCCCCCTGGGGGGTTGCGGGTCTACCAACCACTACCACAGGATGGTAATCCCCTTTTCCCCTGGGGGGGTTGCTGTTCTCCCAAAACCATCTCCCACGGGTTTGGTAGTACCTTTCCCTGGGGGGTTGCTTGTCTCCCAACCCTTTCCCTACCACAGGATGGTAAGTCCCCTCCCTGGGTGGTTGCTGTCTACCAACCTTCAAACCACAGGAGGGTAGTACCTCCCTGGGTGGTTGCGGGCTCCCCCTACTACCCTACCACAGGAGGGTAGAAACCCTCCCGGGGTGGTTGGGGTTCTCCCAACCTTCTCCCACAGGGGGGTAGTACCTCCCGGGGTGGTTTGTTACAACCTTCTCCCAAAGGATGGAAAGTACCTCCCTGGGGGGTTTTGCTGCCCTCCCAAACCCTTTCTACCAAAGGATGGTATTTCCCTCCCGGGGGTTGGTTTGTTGTCTACCAACCTTTACCCGGGACGGTAGTCCTCCCTGGGTGGTTGCCGTCTCCCAACCCTTCACCACGGGAAACGGTTGTACCCCCCTGGGTGGGTTGTCACCAACCTTCTACACAGGACGGTAGTACCCCCCGGGGGTGGTTTTGTCTCCCAACCTTCAAAACCAAGGACGGTATACCCCCCGGGGGGGTTGCCTTCTACCCCCCTTCAAACCACAGGACGGTAGTACCTCCCTGGGTGGTTCCCCGTTAAAAACCTTCTACCACCGAGGGTAGTCCCCCTCCCTGGGTGGTTTTTTGTTCCCCAACCCTTTCCCAAAAGGACGGTAGTACCTCCCTGGGGGGTTTTGTTTTTCCCCCAACCCTTTCTCCCCAAAGGACGGTAGTCCCCTTCCCTGGGGGTTTGCGTCCCCCAACCCTTTTTAACCAAAAGAAGGGTAGTCCCCCCGGGGGTGGTTGCTGCCCTCCCAAACCCTTTCTACAAAAGGTCTTTTGTACCTCCCTGTGGGGTTTGCTGTCTCCCAAACCCCCTTCCCCAAACGGACGGAGTACCCCCCCCCTGGGTGGTTGCGTCCCCAAACCCCTTCCCTACCCGGGACGGTAGTACCTCCCTGGGTGGGGGGGGTTGCTGTCAAACCAACCTTCTACCCCCCAGGGCGGTAGTACCCCCCCTGGGTGATTCCCGGGAAACAACCTACTACCACAGGAGGGTGAAACCTCCCTGGGTGGTTGCGTCTACCAACCTTCTAACCAGAGGAGGGTTTGTACCTCCTGGGTGGTTGCGTTTTTTCCAAACCCTTCCCCCCCACAGGACGGAAAGTACCCCCCGGGGGGTTTGCTGTCAAACCAAAACCTTCTCCCACAGACGGTAGTACCCCCCCGGGGGTGGTTGCTGTTCCAAACCTTTTCCCAACAGGTCGGTAAAACCCTCCCGGGGTGGTGCTGTTTTTCCCAACCTTCAAACCAAAGGAGGGGTATTTAACCTCCCGGGGGGGTTGCTGTTTTCCAAACCTTTTTTACCACGGGAAAAGGGTAAGTACCTCCCTGGGGGGGGGGTTTGCTGCCTACCAACCTTCTCCCACAGGGCGGTAGTACCTCCCTGGGTGTTTTCTGTCTCCCAAACCTACTACCACAGGAGGGTTTAGAAACCATCCCTGGGGGTTGTTTTTTCTACCAACCTTTACCAAGGAGGGTAGTACCTCCCGGGGTGGTTTTTTGTCTCCCAAAACCTTCTCCCACGGGACGGAAAGTCCCTCCCTGGGGGTTGCCGTTTTCCCCAACCTTCTACCCCCGGACGGTAGTCCCCTCCCTGGGTGGTTGCCGTCCTCCCAACTTTTCAAACCAACAGGAGGGTTAGAAACCCCCCTGGGGGGGGTTGTTTTCTACCAACCTTTTTCCACGGGAAACGTGAAACCCCCCTGGGTGGTTGC